TGGTTTGACCAGCATTGACGACGGCACCCCCGCTGACGACGGCACCAACCCCTTGCAAAACATCAGTAGCAATCAAAGTGGAACTCTCGACTACTGGATGACTTTGCTCTGAGCTTGCAACAACTTCGGCCTGCTCTTGCTCAGTGACAACGTTCTCTACCCATTGTTCAGTACGTTGTGGGTCAACATGTGTTACGCTAGCATTTCCTATCTTCTCACTTGCTGCAGAAAGCTCTTCTTCCAACTCGAATTCCTTTAACTCAATTTCAGCCAGTTTCTTGCGGTGTACCTCAGCTAGTTCTTCCAACTCTAAATTACCTTGCTGTTCTTTTATTTTCTTTTGCTGCGCTTTCAACTTCAATGACACCTTTGCTTGTCTCTCAAGTTCCTCCTGCTGCTTCTTCAAAACCAACAAATCTCGCCTCTTCTCAGTTGATGTTTTTGACTGCGCGACGGTATAGCGACTGGATTTATGCGAACCTGATTTATGATGTCGACTACTGTACCGCGACACCTTAGAGCGCGCATCTGCTTCATGTGAATCTTGTGGTTGTGTTGTTACGATCGTACTTAACGATTCTGCAACATTGTCAAGCTCTGTTTCCTCAGGTTCAACGTTTAAGCCAGCTTTATATGATGCAGCCTTCTGTAAAACTGTATCGTTTCTTGATGTAACCGTATGAAGCCACATATCCTGCGCTGGTATCAATTTATCAGGATCAACACTTTTAGAAGCTAACTTAATCAATTACTCATTTATTTCAACTGCAGTCTCTATCAGGCTCTTGCAATTCTGAATCTGAGTGTCAATCTTTGATGAGCGACTCTGACTTTCAATGTTCTCAATTATAATTTCATGGCACTTGTACAGTTCATTTTCAAGCTTGGTTCGCTTCGCAAATAACCTTTGAACCCTCTTCTGAAAGTTCTCATCCATGGCTCTAGGGTCTATACTTAACTCAAACTATACTTAACGGTTATCGGGCGTTTGCGGGGCGATTCGGAACGGTTTTCGGTGAGTAAAGTTACCAATGGGGCTGGGGATTAAGTAAGTCGGTTGATATCAAACAACACACACGGAGTAAAACTGAGGATGAATAAAACCAACTTAACTTACTTAATATCACCTCCCTGACCACTTAGGATGATGTTACGGCGTACGAAATTTGTTGAACGGTCGTACGACGGTGCGTCACTACTAATCGGCTAGTAGCTCGACGAATTACCAAGAGGTTTGGGAATTAAGCAAGTCGGTTGAAAACCAACAACACACGCGGAGCAAACCTGAGGATGAAAGACAACAACTTAACTTGCTTAATTTTACCGTCCCGGACCACTTAGTCAGTCGTTGCGAAACGAATGTTTTGAAAAGCGAACGGATGCAAACAGGTATCAAGTCGTTGTAAACCTTAAGTTTACCAATGGGGTTGGAGAATCAGGCAAATCGGTTAAGTTCCAACAACACACGTGGAAAAAACCTGAGGATGAAAAAACTCAACTTAATTTGCCTGATATTTCGCTACCAGACCACTTACCATAAGGTTGGTGTCATGTTACAGCACAGTTTCGCAGAATTATGGGGACGTTTTGACGATTTTTTGGAAATTTTTTACTTTTTTCCCAAAATTTTTCGGAAAATTTTGGTCGACAGGTTCGAGTCGCAAACCAATCCAAAAAACTAGTCCAGTACCTTTTGTCTATGTTCCGTTTTTCTGGACTTTCAATCCGTTCACAATTACTCAAAAATTTGTGGTATCGGGAAAAAATACCACTTGTAGCTTGCTTTGAGTTGAGATACACAATAAGACACCGTATGTAATTTTATTGCACAAAAAAGTTTATAAAGATTAGACTAGTCTTACAGTTTTTGACGGTTTTGGAGATTGGGCGGTCACCGGGAAAAATCCAAAAACTTCGGGTGTCGAGAAAAACACAGCTCCACTTTGACCACAAGTCAACAATCAGGACACCTGAACAGGCCTCTCTTCCGCTAATCAGTCTGCTCTTTCGTCAGTCTGCTATGTCGTCTGTCGGCTTACAGGCTCCTCGCTGTCGGCTTACAGGTCTGTCGTCTGTCGGCTTACAGTCCGACTGCACACTTCCAATTTGGTCAACACACTGATGTCTGGCCAATGAGAATTCGGCCAAACGGGTGAGGCGGTATTCTGTGGTATTTCGGCCAATCGCGTCCCTTGTGTCGATCGAATTTGTGTCGTCGTCGGTCCCTCACGACAGCATATAGCACGGAAGGGGGGTACTCTTCCTTTCAGAATATATATCGAGTGAAGAGGATAGAAGACAACTCAGTGGCGTCTAACTTTACATTCTTGTCACCAGAAGAACAGCTCATTTCAATTATTGGTAGGCATTTATTTATCCTATTCTGAGGTTCAATTATCCTTTGTTCGACCTGAAGGTTGCGAGAAAAATAAACTCGGGTCCCTGTCAATACAACAACTCGTGTCCCTTGTGGGGCGCCAAAATGTGCGCCTCAATCTCCACGGATTGTAAAAATATCGGGTTTCAACAATTTAATTCGAGCATTTTATCGGCAAAATAACTCGGTAACAATAATACTCAATTTATCGGTAAGAATGATATTTTTACCAAACTTTTGTATTGTTAACATCGGTCACATCGGCACAAAAAACTCCATAACTCAAAGCAAGCTGCAAAAATGGCCAGTATTTGTCCTTGAGACAAATTGCTCTTTTTAAAGGTCAACCTTAATCAAGGCTGAACCAAATTAGAGCGAAAAGATGGTTAAAATCGGTTTTGGGGGGGACCGAACCTGGTTACGGAGCATCCAATCAGGTTCGGTGCACATTCGAGTTCTAGAAAGGAAATGACCTAGTCGGGATTCGAACCGGCGCCGAACCCGCCGGGACGCACCATGTATACGCTTGGCTACTGTCCCTGTATGCATTTACATTTATATGCATTTGTACTATTGTTTTATATTTGCGCTGCAACAGAAAGTGTTTTTTTTCGATATTGCAGTCGGATCTTTTGGACTTCTCAAACTCACCGTCAGTTTTTTGAGTAAGTAGTAAAACCAAAATCTACATCAGACAAAATACTTTTGAAGGACTATTGAAAAAACGTCTGACAAAGTTTGAAGGAAAATCAGACCAAATACAAGTCGGAACATTGAAGCAGACAGTTTTTTTTAACTGTGCAACGAAAAATACTTTTGTGAAACTTTTACATTGGTTTCCAAATTGAAGTTTCTGAGCAATTTAAAAGACCTCAGATTGCTCTAGAATGTATTTTTCTAAGCTAATCGAAGGATCTAGGTTTTTTTCAGCTTGTAGTTTATTTTTCTTGCAGGTAAGTTTCTGAAAAAGAATTGTGATTCACAATGTAGAAAAAATTGAAAAAACTGAAAAACAGTTTTGAACGAGGATAACCGGTTGCTGTGCAAATATCACAGAAAGATCTGATCCCAAAAGCGAAATTTTTTTTTGATGTAACAAAATAAGATTTTTTTCGTTTGTCCAGCTTTGAATGGACTTGAACAAAAAGCCTAGCAAATAGGTATACTCGGCTGAAAAAAATAAAATACGCATACTTGGCCAAAAATATTTTCGGAAAACAAAAATAACAAAAATTTGAAACAGTTTTTAGTATTTTTTCGAAATTTTATAGACCTAAATTATAGTCTTTTTTAAGTTGCTGACAGTTAATGAAAGTTTTTGTTGTCAAGAAAATCATTCCATTTTTTTTTTCGTTTTTTTTTGTTTCTGATTTACAGACTTGCTCGTTCGCTTTTTATGCTCAAAAACAGTCTCAAATCAAGACCGGTTTTTCTCTACACAGGGTAACTTTTTTGGATGTTTCCAGTAGAGTTTGATTAACGACTGTTAGAGCTTCCAAATGATAGATCACTCCTCTCTTCCTGTCTACTATGAGTGGTGTCTAATTTTGCGTGGAAAACGAAAAAATCTCGCTTTTGAAACACACTCCAGAGCAATCTCAAACTCTTAGACAAAAGCAAGACAATATAGAAGTCTCAATTTCTTCAAAAAAGTAACAAAATTGATTTAAAAATTGGTTTTTGATTAAAAAATATTCAAATGTTCCAATCAAATACAAAATTGTCATAAGTTTTTCAATGTGGTTTACCTTGAATAAAAATAGGGACTGAAACTAGCCCCTACCGTTAAACTCACTTGCTTGAATTAAAAATATTATACAATGCAAATTTTGAGAATTAGACACAACCCTCCTGGAACAATTTGATTCATTTTTTGATTTAGTTTTTGCTATGAGAAGAAAATTAGTTATACTTAACAAGTTTCAGTTTTCTTTTAAATTGATTACGTAATTGAATACTTAATTTTTGGTTTACTAACCTGGTCCGCCCGTTTTCGGGTTACTGACAAATCGATTTACTAGCCTACCAAAATTATATCATTGTTTTTGCAAAAAGCTTGTGAAATCTGAAATCGTTGAATTTGTGCCGAGCCCCATTTCAACAACGTGAAGTTCTGTCCCAAAGATGTTTTTACATAATAAACGGGTTAGTTGTTCCAGATTAGATATAAAATATTACTGAAGAAAGAACCTGCATGATAGAAGTGTCGAATTCGCGGGGTAAAATAAGCGATAGTCACAACACAAACCCTCCCTTATCCCATGAGATCCCTTCCCCATCCTGGCCTGAGGGGATGAACTCACTATTTGAGTTCAGTTCGGCGTGGGTCAAAAATCACAGTTCGTCGATTTTGTTTTTGGTATCATGAGTCAACATCCTCATCCCGAAATCAAAGCATATTAATCAGAGTTGAGACTTTTTTCAAGAAGATATTTTGACTATTTATTTATTTCCATAACAAAGAAAAAACAATATTTAAAAAAATTCTTAGGGTGTATCCAATTTTGCGCATGATTAACTCAACTTTTACTTCAATTAAAAACAACGCGATTTGAAAACATCGCTTCAAAGAGAATACATTAAGACCATTTGACTAAAGAAGCACGTAAACATCTCGCGTTTGCTTTTTAAGTTATAAATCATAAGATTAACCAACGCAAGCCATCATTACAACTGCATTAGTTAAAAACAATAAAAGTATAACATTTTCATTTAAAACTACAATGACAAACTTCGATTATGTAAGCCAATTTATAATTTAGTTTTACTACAAAATGTCGACCGAAGAAGAAGTTGCTGATGTTGATTCAATTGGAGAATTTGAAACTTCTGATGATGAAACTAAGTCAGATGAAACAATTACCTTGGACAATATAACGGAGGAGGTTAGTGAACAAAGTACAGATCCTTTTTAGAATGAAATACGAAAAAAATTATGCGTGAGTTGTGAAATCTCTGATTTTCTGTGTCGAACTCTATAAATTGTTATTGATAATCATAAAATACCATTCAAACAATCTAAGAAAAAAATATTGTAATACAATTTCATGCATATTTAGGAATTAGCGCAAAAACCCATTTAATGGTTTTTTTGACATTTTAAATTTATAGTCGATTCATACTTACAAAAAAATGGTAATTTTTCAGACCGAAAAAGAAGCTGTTGATGCCGACTCAACAGGAGAGTTCGAAACTTCTGAAGATGAAAGCAAGTCTTTGAAGCCGTCGACCCAAGAGCTGGAAGCGAGCAAAACAGGGCAAACGAATTTCCTCGAAAGCAGAACGGAGGAGGTTTGTGAAGAAATGTCTGCTTGTTTCTTCTAAATTTCTGCTTGTACAACTTTTGTCAAGAACCAGCTCAAAAGCTGGAATTTGTTTTGTAAATCTAATATTAAAATCAATACACAGTAACAAAAACAGGACATTTTTGCAGATTGAAGAAAAAGAAGATGACGTTGACTCAAAAGGAGAATTTGAACCCCCTGAAGATGAGAATAAGCCAACTAGCGAAGAGTTGGAGAAGGGAAACAAAGAGCAATCAATCACTCTCGAAAACAAAACAAAAATAGTTAGTTTAAGAATTAAAAACTAAAAAAAATCATTTTTTGACTCTGGTTTTTTGTGCTAACCTCTCCAGATTACTTTTTCTTACGAAGCTATGAAAAAACGTTAAATTTTTATCGCGTTATAAATTTTTATACATTTTTATGAATCAACAAAAAGACAAATTAAATTTTTTTTGTCGATGTGCTGTTCAAATCGATTAAAATCAGTTTCGATTCTTTCGAACCGAAGAAGAAGATGTTGGTGTTAACTCAAAAAGAGAATTAGAAACACCTGAGACTGAGATGAGTTTTCTAAAACCAGTCATCCAAGAGATGGAGTCGGAAATTAAGGTTCAATCAATTCTTCCCAAAAAGGGGTTAGTTTAAAAAATTAGAAGCAAACAAATATTTATATTCTTGTCGTCTCTGCTATTTACAGTTGACCTCTTATGTCGCACAATCTTTTCTACTAATTTTATGCAAGATCATTGAAAAAGTGTTTTCCTTAAAATTTCATATAGTGTTAGGAATCAACAAAAACATCTATTTAACATGCTTTTATTGTCAATATAATAATAACATTAATGTACAGTTACAAAAAGTTGAATTTTTGGTAGACCGAAGAAGAAGATGAAGAAGATGAAGAAGATGAAGAAGATGTTGGCGTTGACTCTGAAGATGAACTCAAAACCGAAGTTGAGATCAATTTTTCCAAGCCTGCGTTGGAGGTGAGAAAAAAAAACAAATACTCACTATCGAAAACAAAATTTACCAGGTTAGTGATCGAACTGCAGAAACTTTTAAGAGTTAAGACCATTGTGTTGGTTTGCAAGTTCTGATGTGTCTGGTTTTGTGGGTTAATCTTTTCAAAACGAAGATTCGCTAATTATAGATTCATATGCTAATTCGTTATGAAAAATTTCTTAGTCGTTTATGCTTGTATAAGGAATTTGGAACGAAACCTTAGAAGCAAAACCTTTGTATTATTTTTTGTCGATTTGGTAAAATTAAGTCGGTTTATATTAACGTATTGGATAAATTTTAGACCGAAGAAGATGCCGATGTTGATTCAAAAGGAGAGTTTGAAACGCCTGAAGATGAGATCAAGTATTTAAAGTCGGTCATTCAAGAATTAGAGGCGAGGAACAAGGAGCAAACAATTACCCTGGAAAACATAACAGAAGAGGTTAGTAGTAATTTGTCCAATTTCCTTGAAGAACAAACACAAATATTTTCTAATAGGACAGTGACGTCCATTATTTTCCAAGTTGACTTCTGTACATCGAATATGCAATTGATATGAAAATTTTGAAGTTATAGAAATTTGTGTGTTTTTAGAACCATATTTGATGTTTATTATCACCATTTTGGCTCCAAATTGCAAAAGAGTTAAATGTGAAATTTATATGTCTAAACTCAATGCACATCAACCAGCTTGACTTGTTTTCTCACAAAACCATGCACGAAGAAAATGTTTGGGATGGAATATTATGTAGTACTGAGACGTTTCGGCTGCGAACCAACCAACTGTAAAATTTTTGAAGAATCTGCACGCTGTTGAGAAAAGCAGGATTTAATTTTTAGCTTGCCAGAAAAATCAGACTGAAAACTAACATATTAGCTGCGGAAAATACTTTTTAAAACTTCTGTAAGCTATCTCCCATCAATGTAGTTTCAAAAATTTTTAGCGAAGAAGTAAAATATTAAAAAAAAATCATTTATGTGAAAATCCTAATGGAATTCTTTGTTTAAAAGCTGCTTTTTTGCAAATCTTCCAAGAAACAATTCACTTTTCTAAACTAATGTTTTAAAAATGTTATCTCTTTTCTTCCATGCACAAAAAGCAAAGTAATTCATTATAATCCATTTTGGAAAACATTCCATTATATTCCATTAAAATCGATTAAAAAAATCATTGTTTTTGGCACTGAAATAGATAATTTTTGCCAAAATATTCCATTATAATGGATTATTTTTGAAACAAAAATCCATTATAATCCATTATAGTCAATTATATTCCACTTTTTTCAGAACTAGATTCGTTTAATTTTGCAAATGTATGCTATGCTTTTTACTAAACGCCATGTCTCAACCTCACCCCCTCAAGTTTTTTTGCCTTCCCCCAACTAAAGAAGGGGGCGGTAAACTGGGAGGTGTCAATCATTAACCCCCTCCCCAAAATCAACCAATAAATAACCCCCCTCCCGTGTTCAATTATAAAGGGTGGGGGCGAATGGCTGTTGTGGTAAACTGGCAGGGGGTAAAGGGGGGTTTAAATTGGCAGAGGGGTAAACGGGGGGTGGGGTGAGGGGTAAGGTAAACTGAGTTGGGGGGAGAGGTACATAAAACTGCGGGGCGGGTTGGGGGGAGGCGTATGGTTAAGTAAACAGCTTGCAGCTTGGGGGAGGGGTAAAGTAAACTGGGAGCGGGGTAAAGTAAACTGGGGGGAGGGGGTCAATCAGAATATATCAGAAAAAAAAACATAAAATTTAATGTGAAATGTAACATTTTATGAAACGTACGTAGCAATTGCACTAAACAGGAAATTAGATAAATTTGAAAAAAAGTTTTAAGTTTCATGAATAGTGTTTCGACAAAATCCATTATAATCGATTATAATCGATTATAATGGAATATTTTGGCAAAAAATCTTTTTGATGGATGGAAATTGATTATATTGGATTATTTTGACCTAAAACGATTATGATTTTAATAGATTATTTTGTAAATTTTTAGTTGCTGACCATGTTATGACAATATATTTGATTATGATTCATGAGCGCTCGATGCGGGCGAAAAACATTTAGTTACATGAAAAACTTCGGGCTACCTGTTGAAAAATGGCCAGCATCTATTCCAACTTGTGTTAGTAAATTTTTTGAGTCTGATAGATTTTGCATCACCTGATCTTCCTTAGGAGGCCAAACTGTGTATTTTGCGAACTCTAAGCGGATTCCACAACAAGGACGCTCCCATTGTTCTTCTTTTGTTCTTTTAATCTCTTTGATCGCTCCGACAAAACTTTAACATGTTTAAAGACTTGTGTTTGGAATTCAAAAACTTACCGACACAAAATTGTGCCCCTCCAGTGCACAATTTGGCCTCGCAATGTTAAATTTTTGGCAGTAAATGAATAAATTTTCAGCTAAACAAAAAGAAACTAGATAGCAATACAAAATGTTACCATGGTAGTGTTCGGTAACATTGCAGATTACTTTTGATGGGCAATTTTCTTGGCCCGATTTTTTCGAAATTACCAGAGGAAATCTTACACAGAATCCTATATGACCCAATCTTGACAGTAGTCAAAACTATTTTGTATAACTTTTCTGTTTTCTTCTTCTAGAAAACTGATATCGTATGTTCAAAAAAATATCGAATTGAATCCAATAAATATTTCGAATCAAATTAAGGTCACTTTTCCCTAAATAGACAGTTTAAAATCCTCCACGCCATTACAGTAATGATTCAAACAGAACGGAGAAATTTTACGGACGTTTATTCCAAATTTGGTTGATTTTCGACAAAATATGATGATGTCAAAACTTAGTTAAAGCTTATTCAAATTTAGATGAGACAAATTTTTTTAAACGAAAGTCGGACCCGAGTGTGTCTTTCTGGTTTTGTTTTTTTTTCACCAAAAAATAGAAACTTCTAAGTTTTTCTCCGCATTAGGTGAAGGTGTTCACGGAGGAAAAGGAGGTTGAGTTGAGTGACTTGAGAGAGGAGAGCAGTCATTTGGAGTTGCAGCTGAAGGTGATGGAAGAGAAAAATAGAACTCTCATGGCACAGTTAGAAGAAGCCAAACAGGTCAGAAAATTTGCAGTTTGAAATGATTTATTTTTGTTTTCCACTACTTTTTTACTGTTTAAATTTTAATATCGGCTCTCGTTGTCTGACTACTATCAAATTGAGCATGTGAAAATGATATTCGAACCTTATTTCGGAGGCACTTTAGTATAATGATAGGCGTTGACTTCATGAGCGACAGATCTTGTAATTGATCCCCTGCCATGGCAATGATAGTGTGCGATGATGAGCTCTCACTTGACCTCTAGCTCCATGTTTACCACATCTTGACAGTTTAAGGCTGCAATTTTCATACCACGTGAAAGTCTAGACGCAACAAAACGGCCCTGAGTTGCCAGAAAAAGAGGATCGCTCATTATAAAAATTAAGTCTGGAATATTGGGAAATAAGAGAAACGGACTATGCTTAGACAGGCTGGATAGCCTTTCATTGGTTTTGCGAATAGCAGAAACCACTACTATTAATATTATTATTTCAATTTCATTCTTGATCTTGTAAAATATTAAACTTAAGCTAATATTTGAAAGGCTGAGGTAATTCAGTCCCGTTATTTTTATATATTTTTTGTTCGACAGTCAAAAATTTCTGACATCAGCTTTTTTATTCTATCAGCCTAAGTAACTCAAAAATCTTATGGGATCACCTTGAAACTTTCGTCCTTCGATAACCAAACTATCCTCGAGTAACTGATAAACCAACGCATCACTCAGATGGAATTATTTTCTTGAGCAAATCTTTCAAAGAAGCTTCAATCCAAAAATGGATCACCTTAAAACTGATGAACGACACTATTTTATTTAAAGGATCTTTTTATAAGTCCATCTTTTGACTTGGGAATGGTCTGAAAGAATTCAACTTTAATCTCGATTAGTCATCGACTATTATGTAAAAAGTGGACGCGGACCAAATGGATCCCGACTGCGAGATCATTAAAAAATGCGATTGAAGCTGGTATCCATTGGGTTCAATATTTGCTCGTTAACTCGAGCAACAGTCAAAGTGTAAGATGGACCCCTTCATTTTCATCCCAACTGAAGCTAGGAGACAACTTTTTTTAATTAGGGTATTCTGAAATCGGTGTTGTCCTCTGGTACAAACAGCATTTTCTAGTATTTTTGCCCGTTTTCTCACTCCACCGTCGATTACCCAGTTGCGCTAAGGTAATTCTTTTTTAATTCTCAATTTTACTCATATGCTAATTGCAACAATACTAATGAGAAACCACGGAATTCGTGTCTTTGTTTAATTTTAATTGTTTTTTTTTCATATCTTGTTAAACCGCAGATTCTGCGGTTTTGCATCTGCAACGTTTAACATTTTTGGTAGCCAAATCCGCAGAGATTGGCCACGGAATCCGCATTTTAGTAGCTCCTATGTTTACCATTTTTACAACCGAATCCGCAACTAAAAAGAACGCAACTAAAAAAATATAGCACCTGCTACAATTTCCGAGTAAAAAAACTCACAGGTTGAAAACCACCGCATTCACAAAATCCCAAATGACACACCTTGACCTTGTATGGTTAACGGTTCTGAAGCCTGGACTTAAAGGCATCGCGTAAGCCAAAATGCTCATCTTCTGTTCTCTGCGACTGAGTCTTAGACGCATGTAAGCTGCAAGTAGCACAGGACCGGCTCACAATGGCCACGTTTTTCAAATATGTAGATTTAAATAAATTCCTTAAAATTAACCAAATGATTTAAATCAATGTTGACTAGTAATGACCTACTTTGGACAATAGAACAATTGATTTTGTTCTGTTTCCTAATAATTATTTTCGTTTTTACTCTTTAAGAGTTTCTCCTCCAGGAAACTGTGATTTTTGACTTCTCCGTTCTGCTCCAATTTTTTAACTTCCATTCTATTTACATTTTCATTTTTGGTGGCTTTCTTCCTTGTTTTTAACTTCACTGGTTGATGTTCATTTTTTCTTTGGATTGAAAACGTACCTTTTGGAGATTATTTGCAGCTGAAGCGAGGCGACAATTAGTTCAACATTCCGTGTTGTTTTTCTTTTGAACTGGTCTTTATTTGGCGTAACGGTTTTCAGGAAAATTATGTGGACGAAAATTTCGGGCGTTTTCGTAGTTTTCATAAACTGAATTTTGTATCTGTTATTACTAGCAAGGATGGTACTTGTCGGCGTTGTGTATGTTCTTTTCAATTTTTTTCGGTTTTGTTTGTTTGCAATATCTTGAACACTTTTCGTTTGATTTTGAAGAATTAAACAGTTTATCAGACAATATTACAGAAATGATACTGCTCGGGTGACTCTTAAAAACCAATATATTTTCTTTGATTAGTAGGATCTTTGGTTTGGAAGGGTCTATTCTATAAGGGTCTTTTTTGTGTCACAGAACATCAGATTTTGTCAAAGTAGGATTGTGAATATTCAGAGTGTTCAGGTTATACAAATTGTTGCCAATACTCTTTGAAAATTTTCAGAAAACAAAAGTTACTTTTTGTAAGTTTTTTTCAGTTATTTTTTTAAAATTAGAACATATGATTTTTTTAACGCGTGGTAAACATTTTAGAAAACCGTGAACTATTTTTTAAAAAGATATTAAACAAGTTCATTTCTAATTGGAGAATAATTGGACATTCTGTTTCGTCCACTGTTCACTAAACTCAGTCTGTATAGAAAAAGTTTCACTAAACTCAGTCGGTATAGAAGCAAAACGCATAAGCTAAAATCCTCTGTAAGCAAAATGTGGCGTTGAAACGGTGTACGAACCTAAAGAGCCAAATCAATGTCCCCAGCTTGATTGTTTTGGGTCCGATTGGGTACTATAACGAATAGGATAAGTTTGCGCTAGTAGTGATAGATCGTTTCTCACACTGGCCATTAGCAATGGTATGCAACAACAAGAAGTTGGATTAAGTCCCAAAACGTATCACTAATTTTAATTCTAATCAGGGGGTTCAAATGATGTTTTAAATGGACCGGGGGCTTAGCTTCACAAAAAAACTGTCAAACGTTTCTGTCAAAACAAAGGTATTGATACTATTTATTCTTCATTAAACGATTATAGGGCCACGTATTGCGTATAACGCCCAAAATTTAGCCCAAGAAAAACTGAATTTCACGGAAAATGGAAGGAAACGCTGAGGAGGACAAACACGGAAACTTGAAAGAGAAAAAGTCGAACGAGCCCTCAGTGCTGTTAATCTTTCTCCAAATGCGATTTAAATAAATCCCCGTTCGGGGCCCACCACGGGCATTGCGATCATATTTCTCAGAAACGTAACTTAAAATCTAACTGCGTAATCTAAACTGGGATAAATTATTAACAAAAAATTTTAGCGGTTTAAACAGGAACAAACCATGAGCGTCTCTAATGCCTCAACCAGCAAAGACGAAGTGGAACTAGCTGTCTGACACTGAGTACAACCAAGGATACAAAAATATCCTGTAGTTTTGGCAGATGACCAGTTGGTAGCGAGGGAGGCAGGGGAGCAAGAGGGCGCCGTTGATAGTGGACACGATTAAAACCAGCAACAAAGCAGGAGTACGAAGCAGTCATCCAAAGGATCAAAAAACACAAGTAAAGCTCATTAAACATGAGTTTGCTAGGAAATATGAAGATAAAATGAATCCGAAAAACAGCTCTGTGCTTAGAAAAAACGTTGTAGTGGAGAAACAAGTCAGTACGCCGAAAAACCTGTATACAAAAGAGTACCAAAACTACCATTGCGACGAAAAATTGAGGCAGAGCCCAAAAAAATCAGAAGCAGCCATGGCGACAACTAGAAGTGATAGAAGGTCTGCGAAAGCGCAGAATTATGATAACTTCTCACGCTTGGCGTCAGAGTTTGACCAAACTCTTTTGCCACTTGGGATGGAAGCCCGACAAAAAACCAAGGGGGCGTATAAAAAATTTTAGACAGGACAAACAAATCGACAGACCCAGGAGCAAAGCGGCGGGAAATGCGGACGAAAACAGAGCGGAAGCTAAGAAGATAGGTTGCGAAGAACCAAGGAAAAAATTGCGCCTTTGGCATCGGAGCTGGGACCGGATCGGGGAGAACGCGAGCGCGGAGAGAAACCTGAATAGACCAGAACAAAAAAGAAGGCGGGGAGACCACGAAAACAGCTTTTAGTCTCCTATTCCTGTCAGGACTGACAGGAATGGAGTCAAGATAAATCGAGCTCTAGGAAATATCAAGAAAGCAAAGGCAGTGAAAAATTAGGAAGCATTCAATCTTTTGTGTAGGAAAGGTAAAATAGACTGAGTGCAAAAGACAAAATAGTAAAAGCGAAAGCCGTGCGTTCTTGTTGAATCTTTGTTAACTTGATGCCAGTTCTGAAACTCAAAAAACGTTTATAGTTTTATACAAGTTTAATTTAAGACTTAAAATCACAGAGCAATTTTAAATTTGAGTTTTGCTTTTCAACTTTGGCTGTCTTTTGCATCGGTGATGTCGATTAGTACCTGCACCAGGGGCGGATCTAGGATTTTCTCGAGGGGGGCGGGCGGATTTTCAAAAAATTTTCCAAAATTTTGACGACCTTTTTTTTTTTAGGTCGACCAAATTGGCAAAATTTTGTGCGCCGCAGCCAAATTTTTGAAAAAAAAAAAACAGTCAAAAAAGCCGTTTTTGAGCACATTTTGAAAAATTTTGACAAAAAAAAAATCGCGTTTTTTTTTTGGCGCGCGCTCCCCCTCAAAGTTAGTATATATTGGCGCCAAAGGCGCCTTTAGAAAAATTTTAGGGTCGGTCGGCCAAAAATGGATTTCTGAAAAAGTATCAAAGGGGGGACCCTTTGAGTCGGCAGGGGGTCGAATCCCTGAGGGGGGGGAGGGGCTCCGCCCCCACCTGCCCCTCCCCCCCTAAATCCGCCCCTGACCTGCACTATTGACGTCTTCTCAGTTGAACTGCTAGTTTGAGTTATTTGGTTGCTTTACAGTCGGAAATTTATAGCGGTTTAATCGAAGAACTGAAAATGGTATTTTCATTAAGTCAAGATCCATACTACTTTAAAACGACGCCATGCATGTCCATTCGGTGAGTTGATTGGAACAAAATAGTAAATGAATCTTTGTATTGAGATTTTAGAGAGGAAATTTAGAGAAATAGCAAAAAAAATTGAACTGCTTTATGCTTCAGAACTTGCTGCTAGCGAATTCAGACGGGCCAGAGTCAAATGAAGAAATGCGGATCAGAATGGCGACTGAGCTAGAAGTCATCTCCATCACTGCGAGGGGGGCGGGGAAGTTGATGCAGTTAATTGGTAAGACACCCACTTTCGACATCCATGATCTGCAGAAGAGGAGGGCGGGTCAGACTAGTATGGAGAGATGGGCTGATGAACAGATGAGGGTACGTTTAATTTCATTATACAAAGAAGTGCAGGTTTTTATTTTGTTATAAATTCAAGTTGTCAAGCCGAAAGCGACAACTATCAAAACCAGCAAAATATATTGGATCTACTTAACAATTGTCTCCCCCCCCCCCCCCCTTTCAAGAAAGGGAGCAATAGTTAACTAGATTAAGTTGGCGAATTTTTGGCCAATCAGATTGGAGCAAAACTCAAACTTTAAATACAACGCTCTGGTACTATTTCACTACTTTATTTATAGTACCAATTCTTTAGTACCAAGGAGAGGGCGATTATGGAGTAGATCCAAAACATTACTCCTCTAAATGTTTCGATCACCTAGAGATCCTTCTTTCTGGTATGCCCTCATGGTTTTACGGGGAGTGTGGAAGGCACACCATCTGACTAAAATGAAGGAGAGAGGGGATTTTAATTTTTAGATCAACCGTACAAACCCACATCCCCCAACCCCCCTCCCATTTAGAGAGGATAAAATACCGGGTTTTCACACATTGACCTCGAGGGTAAAAACAAATTGATCTAATTATAGTTAAAAAAGTCAATCGATAAGAAGTTATGATTAGAATTTTACGCAGATGGACAGCAGATATATTCAACGCGCTTTTTGAAAAACTTGCCCATTTGCCCCCTTACCCCTTACAAATTTGCCCATTTGCCCCCTTACAACGACCCCCCTTCTAGCGTCTGCCCCTTTGCCACATTTGGCGGGGTTGGTGGTTGAGGTGGTTTGCCACATTTGACGGGGTGTGGTGGGTAGGTTTTTTGGTTGGGGAGGGGTGGTGGGTGGTGGGGGTGGTTGAGGGAGGGCGGGGGTGTATGGGGTGGTGGTGTAGGTGGGGATGTCTCAGGTAGTCAGGTGGGGTGGATCAGGTGGGCAGGGGTGTCTCCGCTTGTCAATTGGCATGGGGGGAGTCAGTGTGGGGCATAAGGGCCAAACGTTGGGATTGGGGGTTGTAAGGGAGCAAAGGGGCAAACGTTAGGGGGGAGAGGTTAACGTAATCCTTTTATAATTTGATTTTTAGTTTAAGTTTAGGTTTAGAAATGGAGTAGGCCGTATACTCGCTCCACCAAGTTTCCGCATTACTCATTTGGTATATGCAGAAAATTTAGCAGTTTTGCACGACGCGAACCACAAATAAAGTGGTAAAACTTTTGCATTTTAATGTGATTTTCTATTTATTATATACTCCATTATCATTGATTTCAAATGAATTAGAACGCATTGTTTTTTGCGAGAAAAAATGGATTCAAATCCATTTTAGTCCATTTTTTTGTTTGAGCGTAACATGGGAGGGAATTGATTATTTTGATAATATTTTAGAACCCAAAATGCATTATATTCAATGTTTTCCTTTTTTTTTCAAACGCGAATAATTCACCGAAAGATTTAAGTCCGCCATTTGTGTTCACAGGTTCATTGTGATTGGCGAATCGTTTTGATATCAGTAGTAAACCTTCTACGAATATTAAGTGATTAGAGACGAAAAAGAAATAAAAGTTTGCATGGTGAATTAACTCATTATTGTGAACAAATTGTTCTTCAGCATATACCTCATAAATATTTAGCGTGAACAATTTTTTCTTCTAACTCACATTAAAACATAAGATTTCATAACATCGTATAATTTGTATTAGAAACAAAATAAAACAGAAACTAATTTTTTTAGGTGCATCAAAACTGTCCCATTGATTGAAATAAACGATTTGAAGAACAACACAGGTTCAAAACCAAAAAACATGCTCAAATGCCTCCCAATAAATTCTTCATAGCTTTTTTGTCCATCTATTATCCATTAAATGTCACTGTGTTTAATCAGATTAAACAAATAATTGATAATCCCTTAAGTGTTTTATAAAACTCAACTAAAAAGTCAAGAAATCAGTTTGTGCTCGAAAAAAAAAAGAAAACGGGTCTTCTTACTTATTAAGCCAAAATCTTTGGTGTTTCCTCTTATCAATAAAAAATTAGTTTTCACTACTGCAAACTGCTGAAGTTTTCTTTATGAAGGGAAAATTCAGCAGTATACATACCCTTGACAGCAAATTCTTTTTAAAATATGATTTCTACTCAAAAATGAGATTAACCAGTTGATAACTTCATAGAATAAAACTGTCCAAAAACTCATGATTGAAGATTTGTAATTGATATTCTGTCAGCTTCTTAATCTTAGTTACAGAATCTGGGTAGTTTTTTAGAACTAAGTTGAAAAGTTTTCTAATTCTAACTTTTACCGAAATTTTTTTATTTACCACTTAATTGCATAGGTATCTGCCTAGCTTAAACTCTCTTATTCAGAATTGTATTCAATTTGTTCTCAGTTACAGCTTCCTGGATAATGACCGATATGCACTTTTTTCTCAAAACCTTACATAGTAACTTTAATAATTCATAGATATGTAATTCCTTTATGAAGTGTAATTTTCGTTTTTGTCTTAGTTCTTCGATATTTTCATTTCTTTTCTTAAAACAAAAAAATTTCATAAGCCGTTTGATTTTAAGTTCAATTGTTTCCATTTTTGTTTTGTTTTTTGACGCATAAGCCAAAACCCCGTACTATAAAATGGGTGGTTTCACATAAGCGTTATGTGCTTTCAGTAGTTAATCTTTACCTAGAACTAATCTCAACCTGTACTACAATCCACAAAACCTCAACAAAATATTTTCAATTTTTGTAATATGATCAGTAAAGGAAAATTTAGAGTCCAATTGAACACCTAAGTATCGGAACGATTGTTTTTCTTCAATAATTTTTCCATTCATTTTTACATCTGATTTTCTGCTGCTCTTTTTAGATAGTATCCTTGTTTTTGTTTTTAATTCATCTACGGTCAGCTTGTTTTTTTAAGACTACTTGGTGTTTTGTCCAACGCTTCGTGGTGTTTACCGGTTAAGTCACTGTTTCTAGCTGACATAGTTGTTTTTGTGACAGTGTCGTCTGTATTTAAAATCAGATTACTTCCAGTATTATAATTTAAATTATTATAAAAATGATGAAAAGAAGCGGGCCTAGTATGGATCCCTGTGGTACTCCAAGATTCACTCTTTTATTTTGAGAGTGTTTAGTTTTTACTGGCAGCGTATTGTTTTTGGTTTCTTAAATGAGATTTCAAAAGATCCAAAACAGGTCCCCGAAAACCATATGCATCTCATTTCTCAATTAAAAGAATGTTGTCAACTGGATCAAAGGCTTTTTTAAGGTCAAGGAAGGTGCACTGTGTCTTCGTGGTATTAGAGTTCCAATCTTGACGGACTTCTTCTTTTGGGGTTATCAAAGCAACAATTGTACTCCTTTTTGATCTGAACCCAAACTGGCAATTTTGTAATAAATGATAGTTAGTGAGACATTGAATCATTCTGTTATAAACAACCCGCTCAAAATTTTTACTTAAAACTGGTAAAAGAGAAATTGGCGTGTAATTTGATGGGTCTAGATCAAGGCCTTCTTTGAAGATGGTTTTAGCTTTGGCAATTTTGAATTTGTGTGGAAAATTTTGTCTATTCAAACCTTTTTTTGTAAAAGTTTTGTCAAGACTGGGAGCAAAACTGGACAAACTTTCTTCAAATACTAGTGATTAAATCCATACGTATCCAAACTAAACTTGTCTTTTAGCGATTTGATTATAACTGAAACTTCACTTTGCCTTGTGCCTGCTGAAAACATTGAGTTAATTTGCTTTCTGACCGTTACTACTTTTTAATTTTTAAAATTCCTTGCCAATTTTTCTTCAACATTTGCAAAAAAGTTGTTAAATTCATCAACATTTAGGTTCTTTTCTTCCTGGTCGTTGTTTTTGATAGCACATGTTAAGTCATTATGCTGACGGAAAAATTCCCTGCCGTTGTTGTTGGATTCCGATCGTGATTTGTTTGAACTAATTTGCTTTGAGAATCAAAATGACTTCTGACTTCTGTGGTTCCAGACTGTTTAAAAATTTTCCTATACCGATGTTTTTTTTTGATGCTGCTTTTTTGAATGTTTAGTGCTGCGATGTTTAGTGCTGCGATGTTTAGTGCTGCGAAATTTTTCTAATTGATGTTTATTCTGGTAAAAATGATGATTGAACGTTATTTCTGAGCTCTTTGTTCAATGATAAAAAAGTTCATAGCAATTAATTTGGTTAAACTTTGTTTCAATATCAAATAAGTTTTCATTGAGAGACTCATTTAGTTCTCTCAGAAATAGTTCCGATTCAAGTTTGTACCACGGTCTCATTTTTGTGATAAAAGGTTCATTTTGGCACCTTTGTGATGTTGCGTTTAAAATTACTCCATAAAAATCAGTTAACGACGTTTTGAAGATGGTTACTGATTTTTTTTACATTGGAAAAAAAACAAATCTTTACACGTCTTACTGGTCTTAGTTTCTCTGGTTGCTGTTTTCCATTTTGTAGGAAAAAGTCGTTTCAATTTAATATGCTTATCAGTTCAGAGAAATGTTTACTTTTTCTGAAAATATTTATGTTAAAGTAACCACAAAGTAAAGGATGCGCAGATGGTGCTACGAAAATATCATCCCAAAATTTTTTGAAGTATAAAGAGTGTCTCAGGTTTTACCGCGATGAGAGGAATATGAACACGCATAAAATTAGTATTTCTTAGTTTTTCATTTGTAATTTTGACGCTGAATAATTGAATGTTGTTCAAACTTGTTTTTTTATTAATTCATAATTTATTCCAATTTGTATATATAAGCAGACGCCTTCTAACCTACGCTTAGAGAACTTTCAATGAGAGGTTGATACACTTTTGTTTTAAAAAATTTTGATTTTCTCGTTTAATGAAAGCAAGGTTTTGGTGCAACATATAACGCTAGGCAAATAATTTGGTTGCGTTAGGCCAACTTGAAAATCGTTTATGTTTTTTGGTAACGATCTAACACTTTGCAAAAGAACCTGCTCAGTGGTATTCATGAGACACTGCTATTTGTGTCTTTGTTGATCTGAGATAGGAAAAAAAACAAAAAATGGTCAAAAAATCATG